AAAAAAAAAAAAAAAAAAAAAAAAAAAAAAAAAAAGACCTAATGGTCTTCACACTACAGGTCTCTCTGACTCACTGAAGAACCCTTCTCCCCCAAACCACCATTACTCGTTCCCAGTCATTCTTCTTGAACGTGCTTTGCATGCTGCCGCAACTTTCGGGGATCTGCAGCTGGAGCAAAATGGCTGGCACTCTGGGAGCGCCAGCCAGCCAAAAACACGAGGCTCACACCGGTTCTTGTTGTGTTTGGCGCACAGGAGGGCGTTCGATGCCAAGGGCAAAAGTGGCTCGGAAGTACTGGTGGCCCTGCTATCGGCCGTGGGAAAAAAAAAGAAAGTAGAAACGTTTCCACTCGGATGAATTTGGGCGCTCCTGTAGTGGCCCGTACGTTTCCTAAAATCGGGGCGCGTTAACGGGCACGACTTTAGGAAGTACTGGTGGCTTTAATTATAATTATGTCAGGCGCAAATGCTTCCAGTGGACACCGTACTTTACTTGGCATCAATGGCCTCCATTTGAGGCTACCATCTTTCAGCCCAACATAAGTGCACCCTCATCATGATTTCACATGCCAGAAAGATAGATTGCATACATTCATGACTAGGGTGCGTTGTGTTCGGGAAAAGATGGTAATCTTCTCCTTTACAAAATCTAAGTTTATTTTTCATCATTTTATTCTCTCTCTTTTTTCTTCTCTGACATTCTTTTTCGCCTTGCACTACCTACCTACTGCTACTCCTAAGGCTATATAGAGGGGACCGCAAGCATAGCCACCTCTTATGGTGAAGGGGATATTGCATGTTGCCCCTTGCCCCAGTAGTTTTAGGGTGCAGGGTTGGGGCCGCCGGTGGTGTGTGTGTGTGTGTGAGAGAGAGGAGGGGCGCGGGGGAAAGGGACGGGGATTGTGAGTCGATATCGACACGCGCTACCTCCCGCCCTTCTCCTGAGGTAGCGCGTGTCGATATCGACTCCGTCCCTTTCCCCCGCGCCCCTCCTCTCTCTCTCTCTCTCTCTCTCTCACACACACACACACACACACACACACCCTACCGGGGAGGGACTCCGAGGGAGGTATCGTGCGTTGGTACCGACTCACCATCTCCGTCCCTTCCCCCC